ATTATAAAGCCATTTACGTGTTAAAGTCTATTTTTCTCTCTACGATTCTCTCCCTCAATAAGAAGGGGATAATTACACAATTAACGCTCTCTCACCCCTTGCTACGTGTTTCTCCTTCTAATATTGAAGCAACCACAAATCCACAAGTAGAAGAGTAAATCGTAATGGTGAATTAAAGATCTCCTTGCTTCCCTCTTCTCTTCTCCTCTTTAACAATATATCCAAGCTAGTAAACTCTAACGGCGAATTAAAGATCTCTTTGCTTCTCCTTTCTCTTCTCTCATTTAACAAGGGACCCACGCTCATGTTATTGTCGTTCTTCTTCTCTGCCTTATTTGAGTTTTCCCTTTTACCTATGTTTTAGAGGTATGATGAGAGTCTACCTCTAATTTTAGAAGAGAGAGGGAGAGAGAGAGGGGAGGAGCTTGGTCATTCTCGAGAGAGATAAAAAAGCTTTAGTCCAACCTGTTGTGGAACTTTTGTGAGCAAACAGCAACTCGAGTTGTTGTCTCCTTCATAATTTCTTTGTTACAGTTGATTTTCCTTTGAAGATTTCGAGTGTACATAGTTTAGAGATTGCATAATTTTTTATTTCAATCTAAAAATCTAGTAAAATATTGTGATTGTCTAACTGTTTAAATCTATTTCACAAGATTTTTGCATTGCAATCCAAAAATATTGCAATTTTGGATACATCCAAACTAGCACTAGGTAGTGCATTTAAAGAGCAATGTATAAACAGTTTCCATGTTTGGTAACTTAGGTAGCACATTTAAAGAGCAATGTATAAGCAATTTCTATATTTGGTATCGTATGGTTGGTGTGAAAATATTTACATAAAACCTTAGTGCTAGTTTGGATGTACCCAAAATTGCAATATTTTTTTATTACAATCCAAAAAAATTCTAAAATAGATTTGAAACGTTTGGACAAGATTTTACTAGATTTTTAGATTGAAATAAAAAATTCAGTAGTCTCAAGACAAAAGTTACCGTAAAAAAAAATTCAAGTCAGACTTGATTTTTTTATGAAAGTGCAGCTCTCTCATCCTGTGCAAACCCCACCATGTGACTCGACAACCCATACCGTAAAACCTCAGAAACCCCAAATCTACTTTCTCTTTCTCTACCTCAAAAACCCCAAATCTACTCTCTCTTTCTCTACCTCATAAACCCCAAATTTACTCCCTCTCTCTCTCTTTAAACTACGTTAACCAGAAGATGAGAGAAGAAGAAGAACAACAATAACAGAGGCTTGGGTCTCTTGTTAAAGGGGGGAAGAGAATAGGGAAACAAGGAGATTTTTAATTCACCATTAGGGTTTGCTAAAGGGAAGAAAAAAAGAGGGAAGCAATGAGATCTTTTATTCACCGTTATGGTTTG